CAGACCCCCCCCATCCCCCCCCTTCCGCCCAATGTCGAAACGCCGAATATCGGAGGTTGTAACCTGACACGTCGATTAGTGAATTGGCTCTTTCGGTTCGCGAGAGGGCGTCGCGGCCGTCATTTTTGCGGATCCAGGTCCGTCGGTTTCGGTCCTAGGCCGTTTTCACTAAATGGAGGTTTACTAAAGGGAGGTTTGTTCACCGCCGAAGGACGAGGCACGCTCAGATGGCCAATTCCAGGGTTGCCGAGCTGGGGGCCCATGCTGGGGCGCCCGTGCTCAGAGTGCCGATTCCGGCGTTTCCGTGCTCTGATGGCCCATTCGGGCGTCCCTGTGCTTCCTCTGCCACTTCCAGCGTGTCCGTGCTGAGGTTGCCAATTCCAGGTAAGTGCTCAGATTGCCGATTCGGGTCTCTGTGGTTCAGTCGGGCATGTCCCTCTACAGGGGGAATATTCAAAAGTAGTCAAAACATAGTCTGCGGACGATTTTTAGTTTCAGTTTTTGTTGGGGCCTTTTTTCTGAGCATTTTTGAGCATTTTCATGTTTCCTTCAAAATCCGCCTGTAGGAGGATATGCCCGACCTAAGCATACGGGTGGATGCATCTACCCCCAATCACCCATTTATCGCCGAGAGTGGCCAACAACCCCAATCTGCAATGGAAGGCGCGGATTCACTATCGGGGGCCTATCGCCGATCTATCGGCGTCGTATCGCCGGTTTCAGGTCGATGCATCCCCCCCATGCCAGTGCCCCCTATGGTTACCCCTCACCAGGGGAGGACGAGGAGGAGTACGACGCTAATGGTGATGGTGGTGATGGGTGATCGCTGAGGTTATGGACGATGACGATGATGATTGCGGCTACGATGACGATGATAGTGATGATTATGATGGGGTTGGTGATGGCGATGATGGTGGTGATGGTCATTACGATGTAGACAAAGATGCTGATGGCGATGATGGTGATGATGATGGTGATGATGAGGATGGTGGTGGTCATGATGTTGATGCCATGGCTATCGTGGGGCAGGACGGGCGGGAAAAGACACAAAGGCAGCTGCTGCGAGCTCGCCGCCCGGCCGCCCTCCAGCCCTGAGGCAAGGCCTGGCCCCGAAGCACACGCTGCGGTGCCGCATGCTCGCTGTGCCGCAGGTGCTGCGCATGCTCGCTGTGACATCCAGCCAGCCGTTCTGCGGTTGATCGGGAGGTTCTGCCTACCTGACTGGGGCTCGGGCCTCTGCTATGTCTCCGCGTCGGCGATGTTGTCCGGCTGTTTCCCAGATGCTGTTCTCCGTCAGCGGCCCCGCTTCGCTGGGGGCCGTGTCACAAGGGCATGATCGGGAGCCTTCCTTTTCTTCGTGTGCGCAGGATCACGGGGGCGATTTGGCGAGCACCTTCCAAGTGGAACCGCACGTTCGGGATTCGTCTGGGTATCCACCAGGAACTGTGTCAGGAGGGCGCATGCTGATTGCGAAGGCGATGATGATGATGATGATGATGATGATGATGATGATGATGATGATGATGGTGAAGATGAAGACGAGGATGAGGATGAGGATGAGGATGATGATGATGATGGTGATGATGATGAGTATGATGATGACGATGATGTGATGATGATGACGACTGCGACGATGATGCTGCTTATGATGATGACGATGATGATGATGACGATCATGATGATGATGTCATGATGATGCTGATGCTGCTGCTGATGATGATGACGATGATGGTGCTGATGATGATGCTGCTGCTGCTGATGATGATGCCATGACGATGCTGCTGCTGATGATGACGACGATGATGATGATGCTGATGATGATTATGATTGTAATCATAATAATGGCATGACGACTACGATGACAATGTCGATGACGATGACGATGATGATGATGATGATGATGATGATGATGATGATGATGAGGATGATGATGCTGATGCTAACGATGAGCATGAATATGAAAGTGATGATGCTGCTGATGATGATCATCATGATGATGCTGATGCTGCTGTTGATTTTGATTGGTGGTGATGGTGATGGGCGATGATGATGATGATGATGATGAGGATGAGGATGAGGATGAGGATGATGATGATGATGATGATGATGATGATGATGATGATGAAGATGATGATGATGATGATGATGGTGTGATGATGATCATGATGACGATGGCGATGATGCTGTTGATGCTGATGCTGATGCTGCTGATGATGATGATGCTGATGATGGTAATCATGATGATGGTTCTGCTGCTGACAATGATGACAATGATGCTGCTGCTGCTGATGGTAGTGATGATGCTGCTTCTGATGCTGATGCTGATGATGACGATGATGCTGATGCTGTAGTGATGATGCTGATGATGGTGCTGACGGACACATTATTATGATGACGTGATGGTAACGATGTCGATGCCGATGTCGATGCGGACGACGATGACGATGACGATGACGATGCTGCTGCTGCTGATGGTGATGACGATGACGATAATGATGATGATGCTGATGATGAATGTGAAACTGAAAGTGACTATGAGTATGCATATGATTATGATGCTGATGCTGATGCGGATGATGATGCTGTTGATGATATGGTGCTAATGGGCGTCGGTGATGATGGACGATGGTGATGATCCGGTTGGTGATGATGATGATGATGATGATGATGATGATGATGATGATGATGATGATGATGATGGTGATGATGATGATGATGATGATGATGATGATGATGATGATGATGATGATGATGATGATGGTATGGCAGTGATGGCGATGCCGACGGCGATGTCCACCTCGTTGTGAACGTTGGCTTGGTCACAGTTCAACTCGATGCGGTCTGCGTCCCCATTGTAGTGGTCCCGCCACTGCCGCGCCATGTTCGGCATCGCCTCCACTCCGGCGCGGACATCCACGGCCAGCTGGAGAGGCTGCAGACGGGCTCGGAGCGCGTCGAGCTCCGTGGCCAGCAGCGCCTTGCCCGCCACTATGCGGATGGCCTCGCCAGAGCACACTGGCCTGCCATCGTCGCTGCCGCCCTTGGCCGTCTCTCGCGGAGCCATGCCCCAGGCGCCCCCGAGGGCAGGCCGCCGCTGTGTTGGGGCCCGTCCGTCTGCAAGCAGTTTGCAGATGCCCGCCAGGATGGAGCAGCTTGGTTTGTCGCCCTTTCTCCCCGACCACCTGCTTCGCGAAGTCGGGTCTGTGGCCGGATAAGGGGAACAAAAAGTGGCATAAGCAACAAAAACCTCGGAGGTCCGCGCGGATTTCTCGGATCGGCGCTGGACCCCCCTCCCTTGCGCGCGGAGCGCGCCAGGGGCGGCGCCGGAGGCCCCGCCGGGGGGCCCCAGCGCCGATCCGAGAAATCCGCGCGATGTTTATGCCACTTTTTGTTACCCTACGGATGGCGGTGCCGTGCCTGTGGAAGCTTCGGATTGCCGTCGCCACTCCTTCGTCGAGCTCGTTGGCCGGCGGCGCTGGCGGCCGTTGAGAGCCGCGCTGAGCAGCGGGCGCGACTGTGATCTTGAAGCGCATTGTACCTTCCGCCTGCTGCGAGTCCGGTGCCAATCCTTTGCTCGAAGCGTCACGTCTTTGCCAGGCAGCCTCTGGCGGGCGAGGGCTATGACCTCTGGTTGCTTCCGTTCAACTCACTGCTCCTCGCTTGCTGGTTGGCCGCTCTGTGTCCTATTCCAGCGCTGCGTGAGCTGCAGGACTTCGTCCCACACTGCACGGCGCTCCCCTCTGGCCCAACGATCAACCATGTTAGCCATGAGGTTTCGGTTTCGTTTCTCTTTTGCTTTCCCTCTGGGAGCGTTGGCATGACCGTTTTCTGGAACATCAGCCATTCGGTCCACGCCTGTCGAGCTCGAGCATGCTGCGGCGTGTCGTCGCTGATGCCTTTCAACATCCCAAGCGTCCACCCTGGAGTGCATGAGGACGTTGGCGCCGCATTCGTGGAACTCCCGCTTCTTGTTGTGTGCAGACGGCCGTCTCCGATTAAGCTCCCTCTCGGAGACCGGGGCCATCATGATCTCCTCTAGAGTTGGCAGTTGGTCTGAGGCGTCCTCTTGCACCCCTGGCCGCTGCACGGCTGGTGCTGATATCAGCTCCCGACCCAGGCAATTCCGATGCACGCCCTGGTTGCACCGCGTGCTGCACGATCTGCCGTAGGAGGCCATCCACGCTTGCGGGGGTAGCCCGGGGAGCTGGCCGAGGAGGTGGGCGTCGACGTGCGCCTTCCGCCATGGGGGTCGTCGGCCGCCCCTCGACGCCACGCATCCCGGCACTGGGCAGAAATGCTGGGCCGGGGCTGGCTGCGGCGGCGGCGGCGGCACGGAGGCAGCTGCGGCTGCCAGCGCGCCGTGGGCTGCATCTTCGCCTCCTCCTGTGCCGCCGCCGCCGCCGCCGCCGCCGCCTTCTCCTCACTCCTCGTCCTCCTCCTCCGCCTCCTCCTCCTCCTCTCTCGCTTCCTCCTCCTCCTTCTCCTCCTCCTCCGCCTCCTCCTCCTCCTCCTCCTCGTCCTCCTCCTCCTCCGCCTCCTCCTCCTGCTCCTCTCTCGCTTCCTCCTCCTCCTCCTCCTCCTCCTCCTCCTCCTCCTCCTCCTCTATGTGCGTCGGCGGGGGCACGCGCACGGCCGCGAGCGGCTGCACAGCCGCCCGTTCCGTGCCGCGGAGCCCTCCTGGATGGGAGCTGCAGGGGCTGCCGCTGCCGGACCCGTCGCGCTCGCGGAGCCTGCGCCGTCTCTTCCAGTGCCGCCCCAGGGCCCACGGGCGCGGCGGAGCTCGACCGGCGGGGTGCCCACGTCCTGCTCCGCGTTCGTGTCTGGGTCGTGGTCGGGCTCCTGGGGCCGCCTCGGCAGGCGGTGGATATGGACATATTCGGGCCCCTGGGGGCCAAAGTATATCCATGCCCACCGCCCGCTGGGGCCCCAGGACGTCGGTTCCCAGGCGGTGCATGTGGACTCGGCCCTTGGCGCCCACTGCTCTCGACTGATGCCGCGTCCGCCACCGAGGCTGCGCTGGTCGCCCGGCGCCGGCGGATGGACCTGCGCCCGGTGCGCAGCACACACCCCTGCGCCTGGCCCTGCATCACCGTCTGCGCCATGTGCCCCGCACCTCCGGCATCGCGAGGCACGCATCGCAGGACCTGGTCTGGAAGCCTCTCCGATGCGAGCTCCTCTGAGCCCGCGTCGGGCGGAAGTACGGCCCGTACGTGCGCGGCACACGGCAATCCGCTCCACGGGGGCCACGCCCGCCGCGGCCATCTCCCCGGCTGCTTCCGCAGAGACGTGCGGGCGCCTGGGTGGCCGAGATCTGGCCGCGCCGCCCCCGCCTCGGGTCGTCTGGCGGCCGGCGTGTCGGCCCTCGCTGCCGCATGGGCCGGGGCTGAAGCCTTCGGGACTCCCTCCAGCGTCTCCTCTGGCAGCCATCTGCGCCCTCGACCATCTACGCCCTCAATGGCTGGTGGGATTAGGGCAGCCCCTCCTTCCATACGTCCCACGTTCCCCTGCCCTTGCTTCGTCCCTCGGCTGTGGCCCTCCGCCTTTCCGTGCCCAACTGCTTTCGCTGCCACTTTCGCTTCCACCCGTCACCTGGCATTCGGCGAGGGTGGGGGGGTAGGGCAGCATCCTGGATGGACCCGGTCTCGAGTCGGGGCAGGCCAGTCAGGGCCGCCCAGGATCCGACTCGAAGCCGTTCGATTCGCTGGCTGGGGCCGCGATGCGCATTCGGTGCGGCTCGGCTCTGTTCGTCGGCATCGGCCGAGGCCAGCTGGAGGCTGGGCGCGTCGATTCCAATGTCGATCCGTTTCTCGGGACCTCGCAAAGGGGTGTGTGCCACAGGGGGGGGGTGAGTTCCGTCCGTTGGCGCATCAGACCGTAGAAAAACGAAGCAAAACGAGGTCTCCGGCTGCCGCCAGAACCCGAGAGGTGTTGACAACCGGGGCGCGCGGGGGGCATCGTTTTTCGGAAATTCGATGCACCAGCGGATCGAACTCACCACTCCCCTCAGGGCTCCCCCCTTTGCAAGGGCGCCCTCGAGGGCGCGAAGTTATTCGCGCTTCGCGCTTCGCGGTTCGGCTCCAATTCCTCCTCACCCTCCACCTCCGACACGCGCCAGGGCGAGAGCGCCACCCTGCGCGACGGGAGCAGAACGCCACTCCTAGAATGCGGCCAGGGGGGAACGGGGGAGGGGATCCTCCCCTGGGAGGCGGCGCGAGAGCGCGAAGTTATTCGCGCTTCGCACAGCGCGAAGCGCGAAGTTGGGAGCCCTTGTTGGTGGATCCTGGATCCCCCTTTGGTGGACCCCGAGCTTCGCTGGCGACCCGATCAGTGTCCGAGCCGATGCGGCTTCGCGCGGCGGTCCAGCTCAGGCCAGGCCGCTGTGCCCCGCCCCGAGGGGTCGCCAGAGCGCCGCCCTCGCCCCTTGCCTTAGGTCGGGCATGTCCCCCTACAGGGGGAATATTCAAACATAGTCCAAAAATAGTCTGGGGACCATTTTTTGATTATTTTTTGCCCTATGATGTCCAGGAGGGAAAAATACACAGACACGATCAATCGTCGACTCCCGGGAAAATATGGAAAACTATGGGAAGTGGGGGGAAGAAACACAGAAAATATGGGAAGTGGAGTTAAATCGGAGTTCCAGTCATACCTGGATCAGAGTTGGCGCTGAGGGCCAGACTTGAATCGGAGTTCCAGCGCAGACATGAATCAGACCTTCATCAGAGTCTTGGGCCTGAACAGAGAAATGGAGATTGCCCTCAAAGGACACACTCAACCCTTGCCCTATGATGTTCCAGCCTGCGTTGGCCTTGACCGCCAGAAAGAATGTCCGGCACCAAGAAAGTACCAAGACTGGAAGGTTTTCGCGTGTCGGGCCTTGGGAGGCGACATTCGTTCGCCAGCGTTTCGATCTTTTTCCGGGTGCTCGAAATTGTTTATGGGATGTGTCCGAGCGGGAATTTATCCATAACCACCGCCTGGGGGGTCGATCTTCGCGTACCTCCACAGGCGGTGGATATGGATATATTCGGGCCCCTGGGGGCCAAACTGTATCCATCTCCACCGCCCGCCAGGGCACCAGGCCGTCGGCTCCCAGGCGGTGGATACGGATAAATCCCCGCCTCGCAATGCGGTCCTTACGCGCGATCTTTGTCCGGGTTTCGACAGCGTTTCGATCGACAACGTTTCGATCTTTGTCCGGGTGCTCGAAATTATTTCTGGGATGTGGTCCGTACGCGCGATGGGAGCAGCATAACCCTTTCCCAGGTCGGCGGCGCTCCAGCGCCAGCGCGCCCGCGCTGGGACCGCAGGGGCCTCGGCCCTCGGCCGGCGGCGGCGGGCGCGCGGCGACGACGACGACGACGACGACGACGACGACGACGACGACGACGACGACGACGACGACGACGACGACAAGGACGACGACGACGGCGAGGTCGACTTCGGCCAGGGCAGGGCCAGGTCCCCGTCGCCCTACAGGGCGGCGACGCGGGCGAAGAGGACGGCGTCGAGGGCGAGGATGAGGAGGATGAGGAGGATGAGGAGGAGGAGGAGGAGGAGGAGGAGGAGGAGGAGGAGGAGGAGGAGGCCGACTCCGGCGATGGCGATGCCGCGGACGACGAGGTCGACGGCGAGGACGTGCACGACGTGGGCGACGTGGGCGACGACGAGGACGAGGACGACGAGGACGACGAAGACCACGAGGACGACGAGGACGACGAGGGCTGGGACGACCTTGGTCAGTCTGGGGCGCTCTTTTGCGCTGGGCTTGACTCCGACGACAACGATGTGGACGACGAGGACGAGGGCGAGGACGGGGGCGAGGACGAGGACGAGGACGACGACGACCACGACGACGATGGCGGCGGTGGCGGCGGCGGCGGCGGCGTAGGCGGCGGCGGCGGCGGCGGCGACGGCGTAGGCGGCTGCGACGGCGACGACAGCGATGAAGACGAGGACGACGGCGGTGACGGCGGCGGCGACGACGGCGCAGGCGACAGCGGGAGCGACCCAGGCGTGGCCAGGGCACTGGCAGCCGCCGGCCTGGCGGCGCTGCTCGCGCGCCCTGGCGCCGTGGTCGCACCGTCGCTGTTCGTGCCGAGCCCAAGGCGGATTTTTCTCCTACTCCCCATCCTGCCCCATCCTGCTTTATTCTCCCTGTACTCCCCACGCCTCCTCCTCCTCCTCCTCCTCACCTCCGTCTTCCTCGTGGTGCCTCCTCCTCCTCCTCCTCCTCCTCCTCCTCCTCCTCCTTCTCCGTATCCTCCCTGTCCCTCCTTCTAGGTGGCTTGGCAGCCGTGGCCCCCGCCCCCGCAGCCATCTTGCCTGCGGCCGCGAGCGGGCGCCCACCGCGCCAGAGCCCCCTGCGCCAGCCGTCCGCCCTCGCGGGCGCTCGCGATCCTCCGAGCGCAGGTTGCGCTCCCCTGCCTGGCACCGGCGAGTCCGGCGGCTGTGGGCTCAGGGGCGCTTCGCCCTGCGCAATGCCGCTGCGCACAGGCGTCTCGCTGGTCATCACGGAGTTCGGCCGCTGAGCGTCGTCGACGCCGTGGGCACCTCGCCGTGGAGGGCCGCTGCGGGCGCCCCGCCGTGGGCATGCGTGGCCACTCGATCATGCGGCAGTTGCGCCAGCGTCAGCACGAGGGCCACGTGCCGGAAGTGCGGTCGCGACAGAGTAGTTTGCCCCCCTCGGGCTGCCGACGGCGCGGGGCACCCCAAGGCCCCCCCGCGCTCGGCCTCCGCGGGGCGCCGCCGTCGGTCGCAGCCTCCTGGGGGACCTGCTGCTGCTGCTGCTGCTGCTGCTGCTGCTGCTGCTGCTGCTGCTGCTGCTCCCCCACGTGCTGAGTCCGCTCCCAGCCCCACGGTGGTGCGCGCCCGACAAGGTTCGCAGGCCTTGCAGCAGCTTGTAAGTGCGGCGACAACCACCCGCTCATCGTGGCCGCCAAGGACGACCTCGCGCGGTTGGGGGCCGAGGAGCGCAGGGCCCAGTCGCCCGAGGTGCTCCTCTGCAGCTCGCAGAAGCGCCTCGCCGACGCCTAGGACGGCCTCGGCCAGAGCGAGGAGGCCCTCGCCGAGGCGTGGGCCCGCGTCGTGCACCTCAGCTAGCAGAGGGATCAGCTCGCCGCGGAGGTCGTTGCTCTGGAGGCCGAGCTGGGCTCTGCCCAGCGCTCCGTTTCGGCCTCGGCAGCAGGCGCCAGCGGCGTGGTCCTGGCCAACCTCGCCACCGCGCTGGTCGGCCTGTAGTCCCTCATGGCTGCTGGTTCCGCTCGAGTCGCTGGCGGGCACGGTGTCGAGCTGCTGGAGGCCATCAGCCGTCAGGCGCTAGCCATGGGTGCGGCGTTCCCGGCAGCCCATGCCCTGCAGGTTGCGGCTGCTGCCCGCCCGCTGGGCCCGCCGCGCTTCCCCCCGCCGGTGCTGCTGGGCCACCCCCTCTGCCGCTGGAGCCCCCCCTGTGGAACCGCCCTGGGAGGCGCTCCTGCTGCCGCCGCTGCTAGCCCAGGTGGGAACGCTGCGGCCCCGGGCGCCGCTTTTCGCCCGTCTGGCGAGGTCGCAGGCGCCTGGGAGGTCGCGGGCATGAAGGACTGATCGAGGAGGTCATCGAGGATTTCGTCGGGCTGCGCGCCAGGGCGCTGGCTTGGTTACCCACGACGGCTCGTCATGGGGATCTTGCCGTGAATGTTTGGAGCGATGCGATTCAAAGATGGGATCTGTCGCTGTTCGGGAGCTCCGTATTGATGGGGGCGAGTTTGCACGGGGATGGGCAGCTCGAGCTGGATGGCGCGCTATATGTTCTCCTTGTCGACGTCTCGAGTCTGGGCGGCCTTCCGTTGGGGTTGGGCTCTTCGTGCGGCGGTACATCAGTGTTACTTCGCTGCCTGGGCATTCTTCGATGCCAGGGGCTTTCGCTATGATTCCGGGTATCTGCGCTGCATGCCGCGCTGACTTGGGAATCGAAGAAGGTTGTCCGCCTGCTTCGAGTTGGACAAGTGGTCGGCGGGCGTGAAGGCTGCGAGGCTGTTCGAGATTTTCATTGCGCTGCGCGGCTGGAACAGGCCGTTCAGCATGGCTGGCGATTTCAAGTGATCCGAGCCTGTTCGACTCCGACGGCGCCCTGGATTACGTCCTCACGCAAGTGGGGCGCGACCTCGGGTTGCTGGTGCCAGCGTTGGCGCGTGCAGGACTTCGCATGTGAACTTCTCTAATGTAGACTACTGATTGGCGGGCTTGTCCATCGCGGGCCCCCTGTCGCCTCTGAGGCCTGATGA